TGAATAAAGAATCATAAAGAAGAATTGATGTATTTGAACTATGGTGTTTGCACAGATTATTGAATATACCATGGAGCTCTGGTAGCATAGTGGTTACAAGTTGGGCTTCCAACCTCAAGGTCAGCAGTTTGAAACTACCAGCGGTTCTATGGAAGAAAGATGAGGTGTTCTGCTCCCATAAAGATTTACAGCCTCGGAAACCCTGTGCAGCGTCACTATGAGTCAGAACCGACTCCACGGTACTTAACAACAACAACCAGGAGAACAAACAAATCTTGGAAGAAGTGAAGCCATAATACTCCTTTGAAATGGCAATGATGAGACTTCATCTTATGGACTTTGGACATGTTATCAGGAGAGACCAGTTCCTGGAGAAGGACGGGTCAGTGAAAAACAGGAAGATCCTCAAAGAGATGGACTGACACCTTGGCTGCAACCAGTGCTTCATCATGTTGGACATACGGTCACTATGAGTCAGCCCAACTCCCAACAGTACCTAACAACATCATGTTGTACATACGGTCACTATGAGTCAGCCCAACTCCCAAGGGTACCTAACATCATGTTGTACATACAGTCACTATGAGTCAGCCCAACACCCAACAGTACCTAATAACAACCATCCATGGACTTTGAAAACGATATTTAAAAACCCAGTGCTGTCAAGTCAATTCCAACTCATGGAGTTCCTGGGTGACACACAGGTTAATGCACGGCTGCCAATCAAAAGATTGGTGGTTTGAGTTCACCCCAAGGTACCCTGGAAGAAAGGTCTGGCAACCTTCTTCTAAAAAATCAGCCTTTGAAAACCTTATAGAACACACTTCTGCTCAGAGACATTGGAGCCACCATAAGTCTGTCTGAAATCACGTTTGTTGAAGTGTGGAGACGTGCCATCTCAGTTGTGGGTAAGGGCGGAAGGGCCTTAGGTTAAATGCTTCTCCAGTCTGCATTGCAATCATCTTCTCTTGTTGTTTCAGGTTACACCTATCTGAGGTCAACACCCACCCCCAGCGGTAAGTACTCAAGGCTCTGGAGACCAAGTGCTCCAGTCTCCTTTGTAGGCCATAGCCAATACCCCTACCTTGAGTACAAAATTTAGGAAGCACAAAGAAGCCAGAGGGCCTAGTTGTCTCACCCCACCTCTGCATGCCATGATGGAGGCCACACAGGACAATGTAGTCCATGGTGCCCATCCCCCAGCCCACCCCCAATCTCACTCCAGACTGTTCTCCTCAGCTGCTGGGACCTCCACACTGTTCTCAGGGACCTCAATGGTGCCAGTCTCCTTCTCCAGCTCCACAGGTAGGTGACTTCTCACTCCAATGCCTTCTAGAAGCCACGGTATTTGGTTTCAAAGTTAGGACCATGGAGATGCAGAGAAAAACAATGTGAAGAATCTGGAGCTCAGTCGTGGGCATCCCTTACTCTGCCCTGAACTTCACAAGTGAAAGGATGTATCCTTCTCCTGTTTCCAGCTGTGTTAGCCAAGGACAAGTTACCTACCCTCCCAGTGCATCAGATCCTCCCCTACCAAGTAGAACATTAAGTCATAATATCATTGTTGTTGAGGTGGTTGTTGTTGTTAGGTGCCATCAAGTTGGACCTGACTCATAGCGACCCTACGCACAGCAGAACGAAACACTGCCCGTTCCTAGCCCAACCTCACAATTGTTGCCACACTTGAGCCCATTGATACTGCCACTTTCTCAATCCATCTCTCTGAGGTCTTCCTCTTTTTCTCTGACCCTTCACCTCACCAAACATGATAACTTTCTCCAGTGACTGGTCCCTCCTGACAATATGTCCCAAGTATGAGAGATGAAGTTTGGCCATCCTGGCCTCCAAGGAGCACTCTGGCTGCACTTCTTCCAACACAGATCTGTTGGTTCTTTTGGCAGCCCATGGCACTTTCAATATTCTCCTCCAACACCATAACTCAAATGCATCATTTTTTCTATGGTCTTCTTTATTCACTGCCCAACGTTTGCATGCATATGAGGTTATTGAAAATACCATGGCTTGTGTCAAGTAAACCTTAGTCCTCAAGGTGACATCTTTGCTCTTCAACACTTTAAAAAGATCTTGTGCAGCAGATTTGCCTAATGCAATACGTCATTTGATCTCTTGACTGCTGCTTTGATATGAGTGTTGATATTTGATCCAAGAAGTATAAAGTCCTTAACAACTTCAATCTTTTCTCCATTGTTAAGAATGTTGTTTATTGGTCCAGTGGTGAGGCTTGGGATGTACACAAAAACCCTCAGGAAGATACAATCATTTAAACAACCAAATGGCACATTCTGGGAGCCTGCCTCCTGGCCGCCAGCAAACAGCTTTTCTCTTTCCATGAGTCAGAGTCCTCAGCTGCTTTCTCTCTCCATGACATTATCTCTGTCATGACAAGATTTCTTATCTGCCTCCTCTGTTATAGCTACAAACCCTACCTTGATGCTCTTCACCCTGAACTTCACCATCACCAACCTGCGCTACACTGACGACATGGGTTATCCCAGATCTGCAAAGTTCAACACAACTGAAAAGGTCCTACTGCGCACGGTAAGAGCCAAGATGCCTGTCCAGCCTCACCCCTGCATGACCCCCAAGCCCCTGATTCACTTCTCTCTCCTTTCGCTTTAGCTTGCTCCTTTGTTGAAGAACACCAGCATCGGTACCCTCTACTCCAGTTGCAGCGTGAACTCACTCAGGTGAGAGGCCCAGGAGAGGAAGCTCATGTTACACCCTTCCCCCCATGCTGTACTTGCTCCCCAGCTGGTCACCTAGGGGTCAGAGTGGATACAGACGCCATATCCATGGTTCCTGTCCCCACAGGGCTCCATTCTGTCTTCCTTCTGGTCTTGTCCAAGATACAAAACTTCCCCCAGGAGTTAATGCCTTGCAGTTTTCAAAAATCATTCTGTACTGAAGAAAATATGAAACACAAATGAATTAGTCCTTGTGACATGGATGTTTCTTGGTGGTGGTGGTTATGTGCCATGGAGTCGGTTCTAACTCATAGCGATCCTGTACAGGGTTTCCGAGGCTGTAAATCTTTAGAGGAGCAGAGAGCCTCATCTTTCTCCTGCAGAACAGCTAGTAGTTTCGAACTGCTGACTTTGCGTGGTTCACAGCCCAATTCATAACCACCATGCTACCAGAGCTCCTTATGGATGTTCCTCAGCCCACAAGGGTGGTATGCCTATGGTATTGGTACGATCTTAGCATGGCCCTGCCTCATCTGGTAATGGGGTGGGACACAGATGATGGACAAGCCATGTGCCAAATTGAATCCCTGTTCACCTTCTACATCTGTTGAACATGTACAGGAGGGAGAGAGGGGAGCATCAAAAAGTTTCTGTAAAAATGGAATGAAAAGGGAAAAACAGCAATGAAGTTGCAAGCTAAGCCCTACACTGTTCAATAGACTCCTGTGAACCTGGGTGGAGACCTGGTTGGCCAGCAGTGTGGCAAGACCTGGGGACTCTTGGGCCCAGAGTCAGTGACATAGCCACAGAGGACTAGAGTGGAGAGTGAAGCAGTCAGCTGATAAGAAGAGAGGGCATATGCATAAGAACACCCACACTTGCAGATAATACCCACTTGACTTGCCTTCAATGACTGGATGATCAGAGCTCAACTAGAAGAAGAAAGAAGAGGGGGGAAAAAAGAGTAATCTGATAGAATTTGATGAACTTGACCTACACCTATGGAAGCAGTAGCTCAAAAGAGGGAACAAATCTTTACAGTAAGGATCATTCCCACCCCCTCTATACACAGAGTAGACAGGGATAGGCAACTTGGACATTGGCTACCCAAAATGGGGAGGCTTCAAAAGCAAGGAGGGACTAGCTTACAAGCTTTCAAGAGGGAATCTAGATCCAGAGGGCATGGAGGAAGGTAGAATCTCCACTGAGTAGTGTCCAATCTGTCTAGCCGGGGCTTATGAAAGGAAATGCAGACGGGTCTCTTGTAATACAATAGTGAATAATTGTTATCAGGACTGCTTGTGAGGGTTGGAAATGTAAAAGTAGACACTTTGTAGCAAGGAGGAAAATGATTAACTTTGCAGTCCAGGAGCAAAGGTCCCTGGGATCATCAATGGTGAAGAGCTTTGTGTGGGACCCTACCCAGAGAAGCAGTGATGCCAGAGATGGAGCCAGAGATGATGACATGGAGCGATAGAGCGGCTGGGAACTCTAGACCCAGAGAGGGAGAGGGGCTGTGTGCTAATAACCGGGGGTGAGGGGGGGGGCAGGCTTGCAGGATATACCCTTTGGTTGGTTGATGATGCATGGAGGGGAATGTAACCATGGCAATGAAATGAAATACGATAGGATGAATGTATAACTAATGTAAACTATCACATAAATCACAATAAAACATTTTTTTTAATGGAATGAAAAAGATAATGGAGTTGTTCCACATACTTTTTTGAATCTCCTTTGTATAAGTCCTAGATTTTGAGGTCTCTGGGTTTTTTTCCTTTTTCACTTTCAGAGTCATGGTTATTTGTTAGCAGTCTTTGAGTGACTTGAACTCAGGGAAAGCCTATGTATAATAGAACGAAACACAGCCAGGTCCTGGGTCACACTAACAACTGGCAGCAGATTTGAGCCCACCTTGTTTTGGGACCAATCCATCTCACTGAAGGTCCCCTTCCCTGTCTGGCCCAATCTTTCATCAAACATGATATCGTCCTCTAGCCACTGATTTCTCCTGATACAGTGCCCAAAGCTAGCGAGTCATACAGTGTTCTGTTACAATCTATGAGATTTTCACTGGCTCATTTCTAAAAGAAGATTATCAAGCCTTTTAGCTCTGCTGAAACCTATTCACCATGGGTAACCCCAGTGGTATTTGAAATACCAGTGGCATAGCTTCCAGAATCATTTCACCTTTTTGTTATTGTTGATGTTGGTACATGTTCTCAAGTTGGTTCTGACACATGGTAACCCTGTATAGTTTTTGAGGAGCAGCTGGCAAGTTTGAACCACCAACCTTGCGGTTCAAATCGACCTTGTGGTCCAGTGCATTATCCTGATGGGCCACACAAGGACTCTACCTGCTAAGGAATGGTATTTCAGTTTTGTGGCTTTTCTCAGATATTATCTTTTTTTTTTTTTTTTAAGCTTTTGTTGCGAATTGAGTGATAGTTTACATGGGAGAACATCAGTTTTACATTCATCCTATTGTTATTTTGTTTGACTGCAATGATTATAATGCATCATCATTTAATTGTATTTGTTTCTATTCCCTCTGTTGTTGTTGTTTTGATTAACACAAAAACACTCAGGAACATATAATCATTTACACAACCACAGGGCACAAGCCTGCCTCCTGGATGCCAGAACACAGCCTTTCTCTTTCCATGAGTCTAGAGTCCTCAGCTACTCTATATCTCCATGTCCTCATCTCTGCATCCATCTCTGGTGTCTCTGCTTCTCTGGATAAGATCCCACATTCCACTCATGATCTTTTCCCTTGATGGTCCTAGGGTCTTCTGTTTCTGGACTGTAAGATTAACTACTCCCCCCTTTATGTTACAAAACTTCTACCTTTACAGTTGTGACAGTCGCAATTAGTCATAATAACAATTGCTCACTGTTGAGTCAAAAGATTCCTATCCCCGTCTCCTTTCACCAGACCCATCTAGACAAGATGACAAGTATTCAGTGGGGACTCTACCTTCCCCCAAACACTCTGAAACTAAACTCCCTCTTGAAAACTTGTAAGCCAGATATTATCATTCTTGCAATTTCCCTTCATCATCAGTCCTTCATATGACCTCCCTTCCCAGGCCCAAGAAGGATGGAACAGCTACCAGAGTGGATGCCATCTGCACCTACCACTCTGATCCAGCAAACCCTGGGCTGGACAAAGAACAACTGTACTGGGAGCTGAGCCATGAGACCCACGGTGTCACCCAGCTGGGTCACTACACCCTGGACAGGGACAGCCTTTTTGTCAATGGTGAGCAGCAATGAAGCAGCCCAGGGCTCCTCCGGCTTCTCTCTGGGTCTCAATCCAGCCTATGAACTCTGAGCTTATACATGCATCCTGGGTCTTCTGACCTCTTTGGTAGACGAAGGTTTAAGCTTCTCCCAGATTGACCTGCATCTTTTCCTTCATGAGGAAGTATACATTTCTGGGCTCTGGGTGGTGCAAACAGTTAAGCTCTCCACAGCTAATTGAAAAGCCAGTGGTTCGAATCCACCCCGAGGTGCCTCAGAAAGAGCCCTGGAGATCTAATTATGAAAAATCAGACATTGAAAGCTGTATGGAACACAGTTCTACTCTGGCACGCATGGGGTCACCACGATTTAATGTTGAGTCGACACCAACTAGGGGGAAAAAAAATCATAGGGATTGGAAAGTCACAGAAGTGGGAGTGGGGGTGAGCCACAGGTAACACGATGTAGGAACTTGCCTGAGCGCCAATCACATTCCCTGGGGACTTGGAGAGTCCTCTATAAATTTGACGTATATGAGTAGGCCAGAGAAACCCAGTGCATCCCAGATTCCTGCCACTTCTCATCCTTACACCTCTTCACCCCTCTCTCTGCAGGTTACACTCATTGGGCCCTCACCTCCACCCCAAACAGTGAGTAAATGGGCCCTGGTCAAGCGATCTGCCCAAAGCCCCCAGGGAGGACCGCGGCCAGGGATGCCCCTGTCTTTCCTCCCTACTGGTTCAGCAAAACCCCAGCACAGGGATGAGGCCGGCAAGAAAAACACTGTAAGGGCTTATGATGGGCCCCTCCTTGGCTGGGGGGCACCTTTCCCCCAACATACCTGTGTTTTCTTCTCAGCTCCCGTCTCCCCAGCAGCCTCTACAGACCTGGCCCCCAGCCCCACAGGTAGGAGTTTCCGCATGCGCAGTGGGAGGCGTGGGGAATGAGCACCCTTCATTCGCTCCTGCACCAAATACTTCTGAACACTGGCTGGGTAAAGGCCCTGGTGAGGTAGCAGTGAGGCAGGGGTGGCTCAGTGCTCCTCCTTCCACGCAGGACGCCTGGGTTCCATTCCCCGGCCAACGCTCCTTTCGCATAGCCACACCCATGTGTCAGTGGTGGTTAGCATGCTGCTACAGAGCCCTGGTGTGGCGCTGTGGGTTAATACGCCAGACTACAAAGTCGTTTGAACTGCAAGGTCAGCGGTTCAAGCTCACCAGCTGCTCCTTGGAAACCCTATACAGGGTCGCTATGGGTTGTAACCGACTCGACGGCACTTAACAACAACAACATGAGGCTGAACTGGACACTGTTTTGGCCAGTTGTACATCATTCTGTTGTACATGGGGTCGCTATGAGTTGGAACCAATTCAATGGTAGCTAATAACAATAGCATGAGGCCAAACAGGTTTCAACAGAGCTAGAAAACAGCCTGTGGATGACAAGGGTCTGGTCCACAATCCAACATGGGGATGACACAGGCCAGGGCAGTATTCCATTCTGTTGTGCATCAAGTCAGGGTCAACTCGGTAGCAGTTAGCAACAACAACAACAATGCAGACCACCGTAACAGAATGCCTGTGATGGTCTCATTGCAAGGAAAACCACGAATAAACGTAACTGTACACATTAGGATTGTGTTGCAATCGGCACCATATACAGGATCCCTATGAGTTGGAAGCTACTCAAAGACTTAACAACAACAATGTGGGACAAACTACTGAACTCTCTTTGTCTGGTTTCCACATCTGCAAAATGGGCATAATAATACTACCTCCATCCAAAAGATTTGCCTCACAGCTTAACTAATGTAAAATTCAAGTCAAACACTTATACCACGACCTGCAATATGTTTCTTTAAACAAAATCAGTAAGTAAAGTGGGTGACCCAGAACCAATCTAGGCCCAACACTCAGGTAAGAAGGAAGTCTATCTGGAATCTTAGCTGATCAGAGAGATTGTGCAACATTTGCTTTTTTCTGCTTGCCCATCTGTTGACTTCCATAGTACAATTTTACATATGTCTCCGCAGTGGCCCTGGAGTCTGGGTTGAGTTCTCCTCCCTGCTGAAACTCCCCATTCACCTTTGGGATGCCTCAAGCTCGGATTCTCTCTCTCTCTCTCTCTCTCTCTCTCTCTCTCACCCTCTCTGCAGCTACTGGGCCTGCTTTGATACCCTTCACCCTCAACTTCACCATCACGAACCACCACTACAAGGAAGACATGTATCCCCCTGGCTCCTTGAAGTACAACACCACAGAGAAGACCCTACAGAACCTGGTGAGAGCCCCCGTCCATATTGCTCCATCCCCACCCACGGAGGGCAAGTCTGGCCCACAGACACCGCCCCACCCACCTCCATGCTGCCACATGCGCTGATACTATGAGAGTGGTGGTGTGCCGCCCTGCATAGGGTTTCCAAGGATGTACTTCTTTACCGGAACAGAAAGCCTCATCTTTCTCCCATGGAAAAGCTGGTAGTTTCGAATTGCTGACCTCTAGGTTAGCAGCTGATAACCACTACATGTCTTATACAAGCTACCTGTGCACTGGAGCCAGTCCCGCCCACTGACGCCAGTTCCGCCCACTGTGCGCTGGACTGCAAAGTCGCTTTGAACCTCAAAGTCACTTTGAACCAAAGTTGGCCGTTCAGATCCCCAGCTGCTCCTCGGAAACCCTATACAGGGTCACTATGAGTCGGAACCAACTCAAAGGCACTTAACCAACAAGTCTTCTATGTCCTGGTGTGGCGCTATGGGTTAATACGCTGGACTGCATAGTCGGTTTGAACTGCAAGGTCGACAGTTCAAGCTCACCAGTCGCTCCTTGGAAACCCTGTACAGGGTCGCTATGGATCAAAACCGACTCCACGGCACTTAACAACAGTCTTGTATGTAGCGCTGTGGGATAAAGCACTGGACCACAAAGTCGGCTTGAACAACAAGATCGACGGTTCAAACTCACCAGCCGTTCTTTGCAAACCCTATACAGGGTGGCTATGAATCGGAATTGACTAGATAGTAGTTAACAACAGGTCTTGTACAAGCTATGTCTGCTCACCAAAGCCAACCCCAACCCCGTCCACTGACACCGCTCCATCCACCTCCACGCTGCCTTATTCCCTAATGCTAGTCTTACTCAAAGGAGCTCTGGTAGCGTAGTGGTTACGAGTTGGGCTGCCAACCTCAAGGTTAGCAGTTCGAAACTGCTGGGAGAAAGATGAGGTGTTCTGCTCCCGTAAAGATGTACAGCCTCGGAAACCCTGTGCAGGGTCACTATGAGTTGGAACTGACTCCACCGTACGTAACAACAACAAGTCTTACTCAGGTGTGGCACTATATGATAAGCACTGGATTGCTAACACAAGGTCAGTGGTTCAAACCTACGAATCACTCCTTGGAAACACTATACAGGGTTGTTATGAGTGGGAACCAGCTTGACCTTGGGGTACTTAACAACAGTCTCGTACAGGAAAGGTGGTGACTCCATATGATAACAACTGAACTGTGGACCACAATGTACGTGGTTCGATCCTGTCCGCCAGCTCTGTAGGAGAAAGATGCTTTCTACTCCCGCAAAGATTTTAAAAGCCTCGGAAACCCTATACAGCGTCACTCCGAGTTGGAAAGACTCATCGGCACTTATATCGCATACATGTATGCACGTCGTCTGCGCACTGACGCCACTCTCGCTCACTGACGCCAGTCACGCCCACTGACGCCAGCCCCGCCCACTGACGCCAGACGCCCTGCCACATGGGCTGAAGTACAAGTTTTGTCTGCGCATAGACAGCTGCCCAGCTCACCTACGCCTTGCCTTTCGCGCCAACTGAAGCTGACCTCACCCACCATTCACATTGATACTGGTCCCCTTCAACACAAAAATCTTCACTCGCCTGATCCCTGCCCTGCTTTTGCCTCCTCAGGCCCCCATACTAACCTCCCTCTCTCTCTTGGCTAGCTTGAATCTTTGTTCAAGAATACCAGTGTCCGCCCCCTATTCTCTGGCTGCAGACTGCCTTCACTCAGGTGAGCCCTCCTTATAGAATGACCAGGTCTGCCCAAGTGCTCCCAGGCCCCAGGAGTCTGGATTTCCTTCTTCTTAACCTGCCTGATACAATGTCAGCAGAGGTGGAATTCAGGAGGGGCCTACTCCACAACCCCAGAGCTTTGCAGAACGTGTCAGCAGGGCTGGCTCCTCCTTGCTCACCCTCTGAACTCCATCCTCTACCTCCTCTGACCTGGGAAGAGCATTTCCTGTAGGTGTTAAATTCTGCTCCCAGAGATTCTGACTAGACAAAGGCGCATTCTCTATTTGCTTGAATCCCAAATTCCTGCTAGTTGCCTGTGAGTTCTCCTCCAAGAAACCCCCCAAGGTTTCAGCATTTCAATTTAATAAAAGTTCTACACCCTCAACACTGCTCTCAGTCCCAGGCTGACCAGCAGTCGGTATCCTCAAAGAATCTAAAACTGAATTCTAAACTCTGTACCAGGCTTTTCATCACCTCTGACCCCTTCTGATCCTGACCTCAACAGTCTCAGGACCACTTGTGGGAAACTCATGTCATCTCCTCATCTTACCTCCCCAGGCCCGAGAAAAATGGAGAAGCCACCGGAGTGGATGCCATCTGCACCTACCGCCCTGACCCTGAAAGCTCTGGCCTGGACAGAGAGTGGCTTTACTGGGAGCTGAACCAGCTAACCAGTGGGGTCACCCATCTGGGCCCCTACACCCTGGACCCAAACAGTCTCTATGTCAATGGTGAGGGGATCCCATCTCTTCTGTCTGCATCATTTCCTTTCTCATTTCTCTTCCGTCCTTCATCCTTTCCCCTCCTCCTCTGCAGGTTACACTCACCAGACCTTGACCACCACCCCCAGCAGTGAGTATTCTGAGGTTTCAGAAATCTTGGCAACCCTTGTGAGCCACGTATACTTGCACCTGCACCTAGGAGTGAGTGGGAAAGGCTCACTGTCTCCACTCCCCACCCTGCCCTACACTTCCTCCAACTTCCTGGAGCAAGGACCTATGTGCACACAAGCCCCAGACTTGCACATCCCTTTCCTGATAACTCTCAGATGATGGGGTCCCCACTCCAAGCACTGTGTGGTTATTTTTTCTTCCCAGCTACTGTGGTGGACACATTTTCTCAAGGGATACCAACTCCTTTCTCCAGTTCCACAGGTAGGAATTTGCCTTACTGAAGATGCTCCTACAGTTCTTGTTGGGTTCTGACCAAAGGAAGAGGGATTGTTGTTGTAAAGTGCCATCAAGTTGGTTCTAATTCATAGCAACCCATATAGGGTGTCCCAAGGAGCAGCTGGTGAGTTTGAACTGCCAACCTTGTGGTTGAAGCTAGTCTTGTGGTGCAGTGCTTTATCCCACAGCGCCACACCAGGACAATTCTCAGGGAAATCCAAGACAATTCCTGATGGGTCTCATCATAGTTCATCCTCCCAACCCCAGTGTTTACTATCCTAACTTGTATCCGTCCAGTCGTCAGATCACCTTCCCACCCCTGTTATTGTGAGCTTGCAAAAAAAATAACATGACACCAAAACATCCTTCCACAACCCTCTTACTCAGTTAGGGTCAATAATTTGTCACAATGGCCACACAGAACTCAAACACCATATTCAGAGTTATAAAGCTTATTAGGGAAGTTAATAGGTTACAATCTGGGATCAGAAATTATCAGAACAGACTTGTTTCAGTCAGTTGCTGATAAATATCCAAAGGACACACCACTCTACCATAAGCCTCAGCCTGGAGCACCGGAATCTAGCTGTGACTTAAGTATCTGGAGGCATTCCACTCTATAAGCCGGTTTCCTGCCCAGAGTCACTCAGCTTTACTTGCCTCATGGGCTGGGAAGCCCACTGTTGTGGCTTGCGCTCTGGTTCATGGTTCTGCTGCTGCCACTTCCTTGCCATTCCTCCAATTCCATAATTTTCTATGCCTGAGTCGAGAAGGTCCAATGCGTAGGGATATCAGGGTCTGGAAGACGTGCTTCAGTCTTCTTTGACGGTATTGAGATTCCCCCTCCAGCTTCTGAGATAGTTCATTTTCTACCCATGCTGGAGTTTCAGGGTCTTACAATTCCAGTTGACTCTGTTAACATCCACAGCTGACTCATGGCATCCTATCTGCATCTTCTCCCACCTTCTCGTACCCATACTTACCAGGAAAAGTGGTTTGGTGGAAGTTACTAAGGCTAGAAGACACATATAAAATATTCAGTAAACCACAGGACCACTAAATCAGTTCTGACTCAGTGACCTCAGAGGACGGATTACGATTTTCAAGGCTGTCATTTTTATGGAAGCAGACTGCCACATCTTCCTCCCAGAGCTGGTGATGGGTTCAAACCTCTGACCTTTAGCTTAGCAGCCGAGCACTTAACCAGTGTATCACTAGGGCTCCTTCCCTAACCCCTAGAAGCATGACCCAGTCACTGAGACTGTGGCCAGTTTCCCAGAAACCAACTCAGTAAAGTATCCATTCCCCAGTTGACCCATTTAACCAGTTTGACAACAGTTTGTTTTAAGGAATTTTCTTCTTGAATTTATTGACTAGGTAAGACTTTTTCTTCTTACTTTACGAATCTGTTCTTTGTGGATATACTTATTCTGGTTGACGACATCCAATGAACATATAGTTGTTATTTTCTTGTTAAGTGCCATCCAATCAGTTCTGACTCATAGCGACTCTGTATAGGGTTTCCGAGGAGTGACTGGTGAGTTTGAACCACTGACGTTGTGGTTCAAACTGATATTGCAGTCCAGTGCTTACCCTATAGCACCACACCAGGACTCCAGTTGTTATTTTAGCAGCATATTAAGGAATGTCCAATTTGTCAAAATCTAGGGGCTATAGGGTCACTTCAGTATTTCGTGAATAATTGATATTCCTAACATTTTATTATAATTCTCAAAAAATAACAGAAACATTGAAAGAGTAGTACATCTCTCAATAAATAATTGTTGACATTTTTTTCTTATTTGCTTTTTGTACTAGATAGTTCTGCTATAATGGTACATATGTGCTTCTAAAAATCACTGTTGCTTGTAAACAACTCATAGCGACCCTGTATAGGGTTTCCAAGGAG